GGGAGAAGACAGTCCCCTACAAAAATTGAGAGAAAAAAGTTTTTTAATAGTGATAGGAGTATTCGATATTCGAAAGGAAGAAAGTCATGAGCTTGGGTAGCTTTTGGGACAGTGACATGCGCAACCGCTTTTTGAGAGCAAAAATGCAATACCCTTTCCCAACTTGACGCGGGAGCGCTTTGCCAAATATTTGGTCGAAAGGTAGGCAGAAAAAGTGGTTTTAAAGTAAAGAATTTACCCCTTGGTTGTCCGAAACTGAGCGTGGAAGGGAGTGCTTGACGTTGGTTTTTCCCGAGTAGAAGGGGAAGGAAACAAAGGGAGATCATCAGGGGTGACGGGTTTAGGGTAGGCCCGGGTTGGTCCGGCGTGAAAGGGCGGGCGTTCGAAAATTGCCATAAACCGTGGGGAAAAGGGCCGGAAGCATAGTCAAGGGGCGGAGTTCAGACAAATCGAAGGAGTCTCAAAGCCCCGGTACCTGAAAGGTGAGGAAACAGCCCCAGCAAGAGGTCAGGAGTGTCCGAAGTGTGGTCTAAAACACAAGGCAGGGCAGAATGGGGTGCGTATCAAAAAGGGGCCCCGGGGGTAGGGGGGTTCAGGGACTGGGTGCCATGGTTAGGTTACTCCTTTGCTTTTTTTTTTTAAAAAAAAAAAAAGAAAGAAAAAAAGAAAAAAAAAAAAAAAAGGGGGGAGGGGGGAGGAATAGTTCCCAGGGAATGAAAGAGCCGGAAATCTCCCCCCGCTCCCAAGAGGCCTCAGCCCCGTAGTAGCGCAGATGCGCAGGGAACCCGTGCCTTACCCCCCCTTCATCCCAGTAAACCAGCAATCGGGGGAAACCCCACATCTGCCGAGCTCCTCGGTGGACAAAAGAGAGGGCGGGGATATCCGCCACAAAGCATACCTCCCCGGCACCACCCCCGTAATCTGAAAGGGGGCTTCCAGAATACACCCATCGCCCCAAAGGCACCCCAAATACTCCCGGGATATGGAGAGGGGTCGGGACATCCCAGCAATCCAGATTCCATGGCAAACTACGCCACCCCCAAAGGGCCCAAAGGGAAAGGGATGGACCCCCGGGTTCTTTCCCCTCCCCAGGGAATAGCGCGCCGTGGAGAAATCCCAAAGGGCCAAAAAAAGGAAGGGCAAAAGGGAGGGGGGGGGGAGGAGGAGGAGGGAAAGGAAAAAAAGGGGGGGAGGGTAGGGGGGGGGAATGGGGGGGGAATTAGGTTCGGTCTGAGGAAGAAACCGACAGGGCTAATTCCTCAGACCCAAAAGCCTCTTCCCCCACGCCAGGGGCCCCCTTGAAAAGGAGTGCAAAAAGGAAAATTAATCAAAAATTTTTGTAAATAAATTTTTGCTGTCAAAAAAAAGTCACAGGGAGTCTTCGTCAAGGTGGGGGGTGATGCTTGTGAAGTGTTCTTGATCTAAAAAATTACAGTACCACACTCTCCCTTTACTTTATTATTTTCAGTGGAACCTTGGTTTTTTTTTTGCATTTGGGTTTTTGTCAAATTCATTTTCAGTGATTATTTTAGTAAAAACATTGTCCCCTTTTCGTTCACCTCGCTTTTGTCCCCGTATGGAACGTGTCCCTCTGCCCCTGCCCCCACAAAAAATCCCCCACACCCATTTTGAGCGTTGGCTTCATTTCTGTTGAAAGAACATTACCCCGCGCATTTCGTAATACTCCATGTTTTTTTTTTTTTTACGAGTGCGATGCTAAATAAACCCCCCATGGGGGGCCCAAAAAAGTTCCGTGCCAGCCTTTATAAAGAAAGGGGAGAAAAATGATAGAATTCAAGAAAGAACCGTAGCAAAGATAAAAGTGGGGAAAAAGTTGCAAAGTTTTGTGGAGAAATATCACTGCCCCCCTTTTCAAAGGGAAGGGTGGAGTGATAACCCCCCTCCCCCTCCCCTCCCCACCATCTTTTCCCTACGCCAACAAGTTTTCGGTAAAAGGGAAAAGTGAGTTAATGTTATTTTTTATTTTATTAGTGCTTTTTATTTATTTCTCATTGTTTTCTGTATGTAAAACTATGGTTATTTTCTACAAAATGTATTTTTTGTTAATATTTTTGGGTGTCTGGAATGGATTAATTGGATTTACATTATTTCTTATGGAAAATGGTGCTTCAGTTTTTGTCGAATTCAGTTTTCGTCAGACTCTCTGGAACAAATTAAAGACAAAAACCGAAGTTCCACTGTATAATCATGGGGGAGCGCTAAGCCTGTAGGATTATACAGCGCATGTGGGGGGGGGATGGAAGGGAACCGGAGCACAGATCCAATTCCCTAGATCAAGAGCCCCTCACCAGCATCAAGGAATGTCCCTTTACTTAGCTCAAATCTGATCACCTGCATCCTACAGACACTATATGACCCTCATGGGCTCAGCACTTACCCATTAATATAGTAGTCATTTTAGTAAAAGAGGAGGCAGTTAGGGTAAGATATAAGCAGCTATTGGAGGATAGCTGGGCTAATGAGAGCATAGGCAATGGGGTCGAAGAGGTATGGGGTAGGTTTAAAAATGTAGTGTTAGAGTGTTCAGCAGAAGTTTGTGGTTACAGGAAAGTGGGTGCAGGAGGGAAGAGGAGCGATTGGTGGAATGATGATGTAAAGAGAGTAGTAAGGGAGAAAAAGTTAGCATATGAGAAGTTTTTACAAAGTAGAAGCGATGCAAGGAGGGAAGAGTATGTGGAGAAAGAGAGAGAGGTTAAGAGAGTGGTGAATTATTATTATAATCAAAAAGAAGCGCTAAGCCACAAGGACTATACAGCCAGAGAGTGGTGAAGCAATGTAAAAAGAGAGCAAATGAGAGAGTGGGTGAGATGTTATCAACAAATTTTGTTGAAAATAAGAAAAAGTTTTGGAGTGAGATTAACAAGTTAAGGAAGCCTAGTGAACAAATGGATTTGTCAGTTAAAAATAGGAGAGGAGAGTTATTAAATGGAGAGTTAGAGGCATTGGGAAGATGGAGGGAATATTTTGAGGAATTGTTAAATGTTGATGAAGATAGGGAAGCTGTGATTTCATGTATACTGCAAGGAGGAATAACATCTTGTAGGAGTGAGGATGAGCCAGTTGTGAGTGTGGGGGAAGTTTGTGAGGCAGTAGGTAAAATGAAAGGGGGTAGGCAGCCGGGATTGATGGGATAAAGATAGAAATGTTAAAAGCAGGTGGGGATATAGTTTTGGAGTGGTTGGTGCAATTATTTAATAAGTGTATGGAAGAGGGTAAGGTACCTAGGGATTGGTAGAGAGCATGCATAGTTCCTTTGTATAAAGGCAAAGGGGACAAAAGAGAGTGCAAAAATTATAGGGGGATAAGTCTGTTGAGTATACCTGGTAAAGTGTATGGTAAGTTATTATTGAAAGAATTAAGAGTAAGATGGAGAATAGGATAGCAGATGAACAAGGAGGCTTTAGGAAAGGTAGGGGGGCAATGTGGCAGATGTTGCAGGTGTATGGTGTAGGAGGTAGGTTACTGAAAGCAGTGAAGAGTTTTTATGAGGATAGTGAGGCTCAAGTTAGAGTATGTAGGAAGGAGGGAAATTATTTCCCAGTAAAAAATAGGCTTAGACAAGTATGTGTGATTTCACCGTGGTTGTTTAATATATTTATAGATGGGTTTTAAGAGAAGTAAATGCGAGGGTCTTGGCAAGAGGCGTGGAGTTAAAAGATGAAGAATCACACAAAGTGGGAGTTGTCACAGTTGCTCTTTGCTGATGACACTGTGCTCTTGGGAGATTCTGAAGAGAAGTTGCAGAGATTGGTGGATGAATTTGGTAGGGTGTGCAAAAGAAGAAAATTAAAAGTGAATACAGGAAAGAGTAAGGTTATGAGGATAACAAAAAGATTAGGTGATGAAATATTGGATATCAGATTGGAGGGAGAGAGTATGGAGGAAGTGAATGTATTCAGATATTTGGGAGTGGATGTGTCAGCGGATGGGTCTATGAAGGATGAGGTGAATCATAGAATTGATGAGGGAAAAAGGGTGAGTGGTGCACTTAGGAGTCTGTGGAGACAAAGAACTTTGTCCTTAGAGGCAAAGAGGGGAATGTATGAGAGTATAGTTTTACCAACGCTCTTATATGGGTGTGAAGCATGGGTGATGAATGTTGCAGCGAGGAGAAGGCTGGAGGCAGTGGAGATGTCATGTCTGAGGGCAATGTGTGGTGTGAATACAATGCAGAGAATTCATAGTTTGGAAGTTAGGAGGAGGTGCGGGATTACAAAAATTGTTGTCCAGGTGGTTCGGACATGTAGAGAGAATGGAGCGAAACAGAGTGACTTCAAGAGTGTATCGGTCTGTAGGGGAAAGGGGAAGGCGGGGTAGGGGTCGGCCTAGGAAAAGTTGGAGGGAGGATTATTATTATTATTATAATCAAGGGGGAAGCACTAAACCCGTAGGATTATACAGCGCCTATGGGGGGATGGAAGGCATTCAGGCTTAATTCAGGGAACTGGAGCACAGATCTAACTGGAGCACAGATCCAATTCCCTAGATCAAGAGCCCCTCACCAGCGTCAAGGAGCCTTCCTTGAGGGGTGGAGGGAGAAAGTAAAGGAGGTTTTGTGTGCGAGGGGCTTGGACTTCCAGCAGGCATGTGTGAGCGTGTTTGATAGGAGTGAATGGAGACAAATGGTTTTTAATACTTGACGTGCTGTTGGAGTGTGAGCAAAGTAACATTTATGAAGGGGTTCAGGGAAACTGGCAGGCCGGACTTGAGTCCTGGAGATGGGAAGTACAGTGCCTGCACTCTGAAGGAGGGGTGTTAATGTTGCAGTTTAAAAACTGTAGTGTAAAGCACCCTTCTGGCAAGACAGTGATGGAGTGAATGATGGTGAAAGTTTTTCTTTTTCGGGCCACCCTGCCTTGGTGGGAATCGGTCAGTGTGATAATAAAAAAAAAATAAAAATCATTTTAGTAACAAGACAATTGATGTTAATGTTTCCATTTTATTATACACATACTAATATGTATGGTGGCATCTCTCAGGAGCCGACCAATGGGAAGGTGGAGTCATCGCACATGGACTTAGGAGCAGAGGCACTCTACCACTGCAACACAGGATACCAGCTCTTTGGCAATGATACCCGTGTATGCACTGCTGATGCCATATGGAGTGGCAACCTCCCTCAATGCCACCGTCAGTACATTTGCTAACACTGTATGGCTAGATATAAACTCTGCTAACTTGTATTTTCCTGTTATTGGCTTCTCTTTGTAAATATTTTATAAAAGTATTAAGTTTATACAGAAAACAAACAATTATATTACGTGTAAACCACACTTCATTTTACTCGAGTTTTTCTAAAATATTCTATGATCTTCAACAGTTAAAAACTGTGGAGAAATCAAGCCACCACAAAATGGTTTTGCAATGGGCGTGGGAACATTATATGGAGACAAGGTGAAGTTTGCTTGCGAGAGAGGCCATGTGTTAAGGGGAGAGGCACTGATCCACTGCAATGACTCCGGCACCTGGTCTGCCTCGACGCCTTTCTGTGAACGTGAGCAGCTTACTCTTAATTATACATGCTTAAAAGTCAAAACATTTCATATAAATTACTAATTTTAATAAACATTTTCTTCCTCGTTACGAAGTAATCAGTTGTTGGGTCTGCCCAGCAAGATCATTTGTCTGCATATTTTTGTGCAACTCCTTTTAATGTTGTATGTAATTATGTCTTACATTATACAAGAAGCATTTAAGTGACATTAAAATAATTTAGAGGCTCAGTATTGAATCTAATCAAACTTAACTTGAAATTAAGTACTTACCCTGACTAGTGTAATTCATTGCATATCTAAGCATTATGCAAGAATTTTTCTTTATTTAATATTAGTAATCTTTGTGAATAACTACTTTATTATTGAAATTATTTGTGTACAAGAGTCACTTCTCGATTGTTTTCACTAGTGGGGGCTGTGGATTTGTTTGTTGGGTTTATCAGGGCCACTCACAGTTTACGTAGTATCGAGCTTAACTTCTCGATGTTCGGGGAAGATTTGTGGCCCAAAGCTGGGCGATGAAAGGAAAAGGAATAGTAGTTTCTCTGCAAATAGAAACAAACTAGAAGTTTCCAATTAAAGCAGGTGGACCCCCCTGCCAAGCACCAGCAGAGTGGGATGCTCACACCCCCACCCAAGTTCAGTAACTGGCTTCCCATCAAAGAATTATCAGAAAAATGGAGCTAGCTCCAGTAAGCCAATGACAGGTGCTCCTCCTCTAATGTGTCTGGTGGGCATAGTAGATGAGGACAAGCATCCCAGAGAGAATGGGGGAAATTTATCACCAATTCTCTGGCAAGAGCAAGACGTCCACACCCGATGAAGGCTGGTGGGGAAGTCCAGTGCTGTGGACAATAATCTCTTGCTAGCTTATGTCATCACTGGAGATGGCGATTTACAATATGTATAAGAAGTTCCTACTCCACTTAAACATTGTGGACAGAAGCTGGAGTGTGGTCAGTCACTTGGAAGCTAGCAGTATAGTAATTGTTGTTTACAAGTGGCGGTTTGTCATGTACCAAATTACCTGGATTCATGATGGATGTATGGTTTTGATTTTACAAGTCTTCAGTCATAATGTATTAGTGTGACCAGTCATTAATCTTTTGTGCTATCTAATGCTGTAAAGAGAAATAATTTTAATACTCTAGCACAATAGAAGTTATTTTATGAAAACCAGTAACATAACATGATATACTGTGTAAAAGCATTGGCAGTGAATAATTTTTTCCAGATCCATATAAGGATTGAAATACTAATGTACACAAGTTTCTGCCAACATGAAATGGATACAGTCATACATATTTGCATGACATGACCATTAAGCCTACATTCACTGACAACAGAACTCTTACAGCGGTGGTGTGTGGCAGTGCTCCTGTACCTCCTAATGCTATACGACCTCCAGAGGCATCCAGGCGCTCATTGTACAAGGACCGTATTCACTATATCTGCCAGAAGGGCTACATCTCGCGAGGTGACCTCTCTGCAACCTGCCTGGAGTCCAGTCAGTGGTCTCAAGTCCAGGGACAGTGTACAAGTAAGTCTGCTTTGTTTCCTTCCTTTGCTATTATATGTGCACTATTGGCACTTCATAAATATCTCTTGTACATGGCTGTATAGCCCATATAGGTTTAGTGCTTAATTATATAAATTTAATTGAAGTGTTCCATTGTCATTCCTTCAGTTATTTGGTCATTTACAATTATGGGGAACACTAAACCCATAGAGATTATACAGTGCATTTGGTGGAAGGCATTCTGGCTCAGTTCAGGGAACTGGACCACATATCCAATTCTCTAGATCAAGAGCCCCTCACCATTATTATAATAAAAAAAAAGAAGTGCTAAACCTACAAGGGTGCAGGGGTATTGGGTAGCAAAAGGGAGAGGGATTATTATTAGGTCATGGAGTGCAGCGGGGCAGTGGATATTATTATTATTATAATCAAAAAGAAGCGCTAAGCCACAAGGACTATACAGCGCTGCAGGGCAGGAAGGAAGCGAGGGCATCAGGTGGCAAAAGGGAGATGGATGAGTAATAGGTTACGGATAACAGCGGGGCAGTGGATGGTGAAAGGGCAGCAAGAGACTGAACTAGAAAGGGCTGAGGGGAGTGCGAAAAGTACCATCAGAGTTTGTGGAGTAAATCAGTCGTTGTCAAGAAGTCAATGAGAGAGTCAGGATTAAAGGAGGGTCCATCAGCAAGAAGGGAAGGTAAAGAGAGAGTAGTAGAACGAAGACGACGTTGGAGGTAAATTCTGCGTGCTCGTTGATAGAGAGGGCAGTCTAACAGAATGTGGCTAATCGATACTGGAACTTAACACTGCTCACAGAGATTAACAGGGTGCCTCTCCATGAGATACCCATGAATAAGAAGAGTGTGGCCAATGCGAAGGCGGGAGAGAGTGGTCTCCCAACTTCGGCACTGATGACAAGAAAACGGCCAGTAACCTATGCTCGGTTTAATAGAATGAAGTTTGTTACCGAGCAGAGTTGACCAACGTTGTTGCCAACGGGTGCGAAGGTGGGTAGCTATTGCAGCAAAATAGTCCATTAAAATGGTATAAAATACCGACAGGTTGTTAGGTAAGACACATATGCAACATATTGTTTCATACCATGGAACAATGCTCTTCTCCAGACTGAGGGACTGACCACCTCAAAACTTTAAGGGTGGACTGATTACATCGTCTTCAAGTATCTTCTGCTTCTATCAACTTTTCTGTACTCGACTGAAGAAGCCTACTGTGTAGGCGAAACGTTTCGAAATAAAGATACCTAACTGTTGCATATGTGTCTTACCTAACAAAATAGTCCAGAAATGGAACACCTCGATAGGAAATCGGTAGGTCATGTACTGCTGACCGCGCAGCAGTGTCTGCCTGTTCATTGCCCTGTACGTCGACATGACCAGGGACCCAACAAAAAACAATATCTTTATGTTTGGTAGAGATACGGCGTAGCCAAAGTTGGATACGGAGAACTAGGGGTTGAGATGTATCAAATTTTCGTATAGCCTGTAGAGCACTAAGGGAGTCTGAGACTACTACAAATGATGACACAGGCATAGATGCGATACGAATAAGTGCTGCAAGAATGGCATACAATTCAGCAGTAAAAATGCTAGCCGAAGATAGTAAATGCCCCC